CGGGCGGCATGGCGCGATGCTGGCAAGTCAAGCTTCTCACGAAGAGCTGGCAATACCCGTCAAGGGGGGATCGCTATGCAACGTCCTACACTCAGCACACTCGAGGCTTAAGCAGATGCATGAGGCTTCAAACCTCCGTTGATGCAGAATCAATGGGGCGGAGGGACGGTGGCGTGGGCTTGGTCCAGGACCAGCGAGGCTTGCAATGGCTCAGGATTCAGTCAAGCAAGGTGGAGGTTTGACGACACGAAGGCCGGCTGTCGAACGAGTCTGGCTGCACCCACACCGCTTGCCTGGGATGAACACGCAAGGAGGAGCGACGCTAAGCAAAAGGTGCTGGTGATGCAAACCACCAGCACCAAGGCTCGGCACCACTACGACTCCTGCTGGTCACCCAAGCTGCGCTGTAAGAGCTACCAAAAGCCTGCTCTCCCAGTTCCAAAGTCCAAACATAAGAGATACTGATACAGGCGTTCCTGGATCTCGTGGCCTTGCATATCCTTCCTGCAGCTCTCTGCTACTCTGGTCATGGCCAGTTCGGGGATATCAATTTAAGGAAGAAACAGGCTCCTCAATTTTGATACCAACATTCGCAGTTCTGCGCTCCCCGGTCTACAGCTTCTAGACTTTAAAGCCTATGATTGTCTGGCTTGGCTGTCAACGAGCATGAGGCTGGAAAGGCTGTAAGGAGGCATCTCCCACCCTGTGCAGTAGCTATCTTCGAAATTGCCCTGCGACTCTTTGTGCGCTGCACTGCTGTACCCACTTCAAAAACTTGAGCCCCCAAAGTCTAAAATCTGCAAATTCTGAATGCCGCGGATCCTCAAATCCCCAGGCTGTGAAACCGACGAAGCAGAAGGTGGCTGCAACTACCCCGTCTGCACCGGGCTCAGTCCCCGTCAGCGAAAAATGCTACATGAATTCCATCCAGCATCCAGTGCTGCGGTGGCTGCTCCTGCTTGAAATGCAATCCAAATACGTCAGATACGTCCACCTCGCACCAGATGCATTCCCCTGGAGGCGAGGCGCTTGCAGTGCAGAGCTTCTGCTCAGCCTGCTCACAGTTCAGCCGCTACAAAGTGAGCTTCTGGCAGCTCTGCTTCGCTTCCGCCCCACTGGCGCAAGGCCTCCGAAGATGATCTCTGACTCCCTTTCTGCAGGCCCCCGACAAGCAGAAACTGCATCTCTCTTACTTTCGAGGGTCAGAGGATGCAGGCGTCACCGTTGGAGCAAACGGATTTTGGGGGAATGCTGCATTGGTATGGTGGTCTGCAGCGCGTATCTCGGCAGAAAGAGAGACAACCAGCTGGTCAGTGTCTGTCGGTCTGTCTGTCTCTATCTGTCTGTCTCTCTGTGTCTTTTCTTCAACTCAGCCAAAGGGAAGGCGGACCGCGGACCCCCCCTCGAGCACGCACCATCTGGTCTTGCGAGTCTTTGCATCCGCGTTCCCCCGTATTGAGGGTTGCTGTGCCGTATCTGTGTGCCTGTCTGTCTATCTTTGGCTGTCTCTTGTCTGTCTGTCTGTCTGTCTCTGTCTGTTCTTCATCACAGCCAAAGGAGAGCAGAACCCTGCCCCCCCCCCCCGGCGCGCGCACGCGCACTGGTCTTTGCGGTCTGTGACTGCGTTTCACATGGTGACGCCTTCGCCTCGCAAGAACCCCCGACCCTGTATGAACACTACAAATCCCCCGGGCCTCACCATTGCAGACTAAGGCTGGTGCCTGAACTATGCCCCCTCTCGCAGCGTATTGCTGCTTGTACAACTCTTCGTTGCTCCGGCTGGCAGCCACTTCAAGCACGACAGTTTACACTAAAAGGTCCCCCACCTCTCTGTCTGTCGCTGTCCCCTTGTCCCTCTCCTTCTCTACAGCCTAAGAGTGACCACCAACTCACCTCCTCTTCTGCACACACGAAAGACGCAGGGCAGCCCCACCCCCTCACTTGCGGGCACGCAGTGGTCCACGTTGCTGAACACACCAAGGCGGGCAGTAGAGGGCCGGCCCCTGCTTGTTCTATGCTCCGGCACGGAGCTGCAGCACTGAATGGCAAACAGCAGCCGGTGCACCTAACACCTCCTCAACGCTCGGTCCCCCACTACACTACTGTTCTGCAGATCAACCCCTGTCACTTGCCTGCTTGCCTCCGAGGCGCCCTGAAGCATGGCGACAATTGCAGGTCTGTCTCTGTCTCCTTCTCGGTGTCGGTGTCGCTGTCGACGCTGTCGCTGTCTTCTCTGCCTCTCTCGCTCTCTGTCTGGCGGCTCTGCCGCTCTCTCGGTCACGGTACTGATAAGACTAAGCATGCACTGCTGGTAAATAAGCCCTGCGAAATCAAAGACAGCAAGAACAACCGGTGCATGCAGCCATCAGGTGACAACAAAGACCCCATCTTGTTCATCGCCTGTGATATGGGTTCCTGAAGCACAGTTTGGCACAGCGGTTTATATTCATTGCATGTCATTTCGAAATGGAAGACTTGTCCTTTGAGCACAAGCAGGCTTGTGGTGGGAAGTGACTGAGAACATTGCGACGGTGCCGGTAGTGACCAGTGCTTGTCAAAATGCAAGGGTACAACAGCCTGCTATCGGATGGCCATTCAGGAAGGGTCACCAGGGCATCCTCGTTCGATATTTGTGGTACATACATACATACATACATACATACATACATACATGCATACTCACGTCCTTGCAGGCAGGCGAGAAGCCAGCCAGCCAGGCAGGCAGGCAGGCCTCTGTCTCCCTGCGCATCTGCCGCGCACTCTGAAACCTAGAACACAATACGGCATTCCACGGCGAATTCTGGCTTCACTGCTGTGTCGCGCACGATTACGCCGTGCAGATCTTACGACTTGGCACTTGGCAGCCGCCAGGCCATGATACAGAGTTTCGTGAGCATTCGACCTCGCGACAACGTGCATGGAGCTTGAAACTATGACAGCAAAGCAAGGAGCGGTAACAGTTTGAGTATCAGTTGTCAAAAGATGCCAGCAGGCTTGCCACCTCGGCATGAAAGAATGGCAGCCTTGGAAACGAAACGAGAGGCGTCTCTCGCAAAATGGCAGAGGCTTAAGTAAAGGCGCTTCGGATATTGCAAGTCTTCGGCAGCCAGGGCCATGGCCCGGCACTCCGCGGCCTGCGCTGCTCTGCGCCTAGCGGCAAGCGAAGACGATGCCATCAGCAACTCAAAAGGTACGGAGATGTACGGATACCACTGCGGCCTGGCGATCTCGACCTGCAACTTCCAGAATCGAAGAATCGCAACGGCCTGGAGCGGCGCTTCTCCAAGCGGAGTCTCGCCCTTGAACCGAAGCTCAGGGATCTCAAGGACAACCTCGCCTGGCGCCGGGCTTTTGCGCTGGCCTCCTCTGCGTAGCTTCGCGGAGCTTCGGACTCTGCCACTAAGCAGTCTCTTGGAAAGTTGGATTCAGGACGAATCAACTACTAGTAGCTGCCAATATCTGCCAATGTTCCTGAATCCTCAGCCTATGTAAGCATGACATGAATCAGGTGCGCAATTTTGCATCAAGCTTGTGGAACAGCTTCTGCAATACGTAATGCAACCATCGACGCGAAGAGTCCCTGTCGTTCTTAGTCTCCGGACTTGTAGCAAGGCAGGGAACAACAAGAGGTCCTGTAGTGCACTGCCACGCTCGCTCCGCCTTAGCCGAGCCTGGCTCAGGGGAGGCGGGGAAGTCAAACAGAGCTTCATCAGCCTCATCCTATCGCCCCCTCCTACACTGCCCCGAGTTATGAAACAACTTCGCCCACCGACCCAACACTTAAGCTGCATCTGCTTTCAAGCGCTTCTGTCCACTGCCAACTGCCAGCGTCACAGAGACTTCTAGGCAAAGATCCGCTCCTCAGCGACATCAGAGCCAAGTTGTGTGCTGTGTGTTCATGAGTCAGAGTTACTTAATGCACGCGTTGCCAGGCTCAAGTACTGCAGCACCGCACTTGGCTCGCCTACCAATGGCCTTAACTGCTCAGTAAAGGCCACTTCTGCGCTCCTACTTCACTTGCAGCAGCATGCAGCTGCAGTGATGGCGCTCTGCGTGCCTCGGAAGTATGACTGAGGAGTTCTAGCCTTCCATCTTGGGTAACATACTTCCGCAGCCCGCGAGTGACTGTGTCTTCCTACGCTGCTACGCAAGGTACCCCGCAGGCGATGCCAACAGTTTTGGGCCGGAGAGGGCTGTTGCCGCACTTTCCGGGCAAGCTGCACCACTTGGCATCCAGTCTAATCAACCGATGAAGCTAAGTCAAATTCAACGCCTCGCATCGCCTCGCTAAGGACGGAGACCGACTTAAAGCTAGTGCCGTGAGGCCGAATAGTGCTACTGGTAGCTGACAGCTCTCGCCAACGGAGCTGTTCACAAGGCAAGTAAGGCCACACAGCCTGCCGTGCAAAATGATAAATTGAAGGGACTTGCTGCTACTCCCCAGTAACTAGTTCAGATTACGCCCATGCACTGCACGGCACCATGAATCAGGACAGCTCGTGCATGCGAGAGTTCCAGTTGCTGCCGAAGTTGGGCTGCTGACTTCATGCACGACCCGCCTCGCTCAAAGAAGTCCTACTGCTGCTTGCACTCCTCCTTGCCCTGGCAGGTGCAACCGCTCAACCTGAACATACCGCGTGTCCAGGTGCTGTCGGGCCTCTCCAGGCGGCCCATCCTTCTTGCCCTGGCAGCGGGCAAGTGCAAGGCATGTTTTCTTGCACTTTGCTGGGAACTTCGAGCTGACGTCTTCATACCCATAGCCAAGGGCCAAAAGCTGCCAGCTCGAGGCATTGCGACACGCGCTTCGACGGCACATTGTCAGTGTGCTTCAAGAACTCTGCCAATGCAACAGACTGAGCCTGCCTTCCTTGCAGGCGGCTTGAATCCCTTCTTTGGGCGTTCATCCTCATCCTCGTCGTCATCCTCGTCCTTCAAGTTCGGCAACCATTGACAGGCTGCTCAACTGCAAGCGGAGTTGAAACCGAGGTCACCACATCGTCGTCTTCGTCCTCATCCTCGTCCTCCTCAGCATTGGAGCGAACAAGTCCAACACATGTGCTTGTGTTCGATTCCAACTGCTGCGAACCTCTTCGTCCTCGTCATACCCATGGTCCTGCCAGGGCAGTAAGTAAGTCGTCCATGTCGGATGGGTCGCAGGCTTTCACGGGGATCACTTGTTCCCAACCCCTACTGTGCCCTACATCCCCTCCCGACCACCTAGCACTGACGCCCTCAAAATCGTTGATGCCCCCCCCCCCGCCCCGGGCATGTGCGCTTGTCAACCTGGCCGGGCCGAGGCGCACTACGCGCAGCGTTTACAGTGATCATCGGGATGGCCCCCTCCTGCTACTGCTGCTGCTACTACTACCACCACCACCTCAAGTCCGGACACTTTGGTCTTGACAAAGAAAATACCCTTCAAACTTAGGAAATCGAGGGTGCCCTCACCAAAACATAACTGGTTCGTGAGCGGCGGTACTGTCGCTGTTCTACTAGCACTACCACTGGCTAGTTTCATTACTATTGCTGTTACTAGTACACTATTACTGCTTGTTACTGTTACTGCTACCATTACCCTGCTGCACCCTACTGTACCTTGCTACTGCTACTATTGCTATGGCTATTGTGGCCATCTGTGGCTGGCGCTGTTGCTACTGCCATCGCGCCATGGCCATGGCTATTGCCATTACTACGATGACCGTGACTACGACGACGTTTTAGTTCTACTACCACTACACTGTACTACTACCGCTCCTACCACTACGACGACGACGGCTCCTCCTACTCCTCCTCCGACGACGACTACTTCTACCTCTGACTGCTGTCCACTGTCCTACGACCCACGCCACCATCATGACCATACTATCGCCAAGGCGGCCACTACTACCAGACTTGCCTCGGGAGCCGCTTCTCCAGTGTACCAGCGTACAGCAAAAGGAATGAGCTGGTCCCGGACCTCGTTCTCGACAGACACAAAAGCCGGTGTAGCACGACAGATGTGCAGCATGAAGCAATGCTTGTCTGGGTGGCCAACACAGCAGCCAATCTCGTAGTCGTTTTCCTCAGGCTTTCATCTGTTGAAAGCAGGCTTGCTTAGGATACAGCCCACGACGATTTCCCGGTGCAGTACTTTCCACCAAGCATCCAAGAGCAGTTCCATCATCCCTTCGTCATCGTCGTCATCATCCTGGCACAGTGCTGAGCGTCTTGGATTCTACCTTGGATCCACTCGCCAGACGACTGAAGAATGGCAAGATGTTCATTGCAATCGCAGCGAAGTCAGAAAGTCCTCCATCAAACCTCGCGCATCCTCGAGGTTCACATCCTTAGCTAAACCAGTTGCATCCAGGTTCCTTCAGATTGCAGCACGTGGCAAGTTCCTATTGATTCTTGGGACACAGAAGAGCTGTTGTGTTACTTCTGAAGTCTCGAGACCCTGCAAGTATGAAAGCTGAGGGCGCGACATCTGGGATCGGCATTCCCTCTTTGAGGTTTCCTGAGCTTTGCAATGGCAACATGTCCTTGCAGGAACTTGCATGGGCACTGAGGCGGATACGGAAGAATCCGCGGAAAAAGGAGTCCCGCGGCTCCTCCTTCTCCTGCCATTCCCATGAATGGCAATTCCAGAGATGCAGTCATTGTGGAAACGCTGTGGTGCGCTCTTTGAAGAGAGCTCGAAGCTGACAGGAATACTTCTTGAGCGATCTTTAGCCAGGTTCGGAGTGAACTGAAGCAAACTGTCGCTCACTTGGTCGAGTCCTTGCCCTTCTGCTTGGCCTTCTTGGCTCCTTCGACTGCAACCGGTAGGGAAGGAAGAAGGTGGTGAGACTGAGACCCTTCACGATAAGTTGCCATCGATCAAGAAAAACAGCATTGGGTGTTGGCTCCTGCGTCCTAGCCTCTGGATGTTACGATTGACATTACACGTATCTGAGACTGTGTTGGGGCCGGCCTTTGCAGCACATGCGGAAGGTGCTCGCAGAACAGCAATTTAGCACAAGTGAACAATTGAGACTCCAACCTCCTCCCTTCACTTTCTTCGTCACCTCATCACGAGCGGTGAAGCCAAAATCTTTATTGTTTTAAGCTCAGGAGAACAGCTACATGCCATGGCATGTCAATCTTGCACCCGAGATCACAGTAGTGAAGTGGCATGGCAGAGAATCTGACAAGAAAGCACAGGAGCCTTCTCAACAGTGATATTCTTCCCTGCATTCCAGTCAATCTCGGCAGCCTCCGCGGTACACATGTTAAAGCTGCGAAAGGCGGCATGGACCTGAGGCCTTGATCTCTTTGGCAGAGACTTCCCCCGTGTAAGGTGAGGCTTCTTCAACATGGTACTCCTGACATTGACATCAACGACTACAACACAGCATAATTACCAATTGTTCGTCCTTCCACAGCTCCGTGTTGGTGAAGTAAGGGTTCTCCACGAAATGGAAAATCAGCTTGAACCCCTTGGAGATGTCCTGCAAACTGCTCGCAACCACCTCCACCACCAAGTTCCACTTAGCCACCAAGCCGCCCTACATTACACTCGCTCATGCAGCGTGAGTAACTCTGCTGCATACTCTACCGGATCTTAAGATCCGCTTCACTCGTCCACTCGTAACGCCGCTTTCGATTCTGTGAACTGAAGCACATCGGGCCGGCGCTTGAGAACTTCGTGATTTAGTGCACGAGTCTTCACTGGAGAGGCTCAGACCCAACAAGCAACTCTGAACTTCTGCTGCGTACAAACATTGCGGAGGGTCCGCTTCATCCAACCAAGCTTTGGTGATGTCTTTGCCTGCCAAAGTCTCGGGCTCTGCAAACAAGCTGAAAAGCAAACGACTGTCTCGCACGCGAAATGCACGGATTGCTGGATGGCATGGCATGGCAGCTGAGTCTGGTACAATAGTCGAGCACTGGCTCGTCCCATTCCTGCACACGGCTCGAAGACAAGTGCGTTTCAATCCAGAACGTTCAAGTATGCTACCTGCGCGCGAAGCTTGCCGCTGCCTCAATGTGCTCCTCGAGGGCCGGGAGATTCTTCATCGCCTCAGAGCTCTGCATGTGGCACTGTCCGTTGACTCACTCTCGTCGCTCGCTCGCCTCCTTCCAGAAGCCTCGCAAGGCGGGCGTGCCGGAGGCCTTGGCCTCAGAATCCGAACACGACTCAACACAGCACGAACACGTTTTGCTCATCCCGATCACCTCCTCACCCTCGGCTGCTGCGATGTTTGTCAGGATCTGTGTCCTGGCCAATGCTTGCAGTGAGACTTGTCAACCGCATTTCGACGCCACACTCTGGATACATGGCTGTCCTCTGATCAATGAAGGGCTGCTGCTTTGCAGAGTACTGCTTTTGCAACTCCTGCGATCGCGGGATCACAGGCTGCGAATGCTTATGCAGTTTATGCATCTCACGCATGCATCACTTCTTGGCAGGAGTGGGCACTGCCACACCCGAGCCGAGTCAAGCCCATGGCTCTTCTAACAAAAATAGCACGCTTTTGCAGTGTCCTCACAGCGATGGCCTAGGTCCTAGGTCCTTCGCATCAAGCCCTCCTTTAATAGACTGGGTGATGCTTAACAAGGAAGATGCGTCCTGAACAGCTTTCTCGTATTCTCGCTCGACTGCCAGGTACTTGTCATCGATCTCCTTCAACTCCTGCGTACGTGAACAATCCGACTTCCAATTGTCCCAGTATGTCGGCCGGTATACACTCCTTGATAATCGGCGGATCTTCCGGAGCTGCCTCAGCCTCCTGCAAGGCAGAGCAGACGTCGCAGAGAGCTATCGTCTTGGTCTTCGTCTTGGCGCCTTCTTCGGCTCGGCCTCGGGCTGCTCGGGCTCTGTCTTTTTCTTTCCCATTCGGCCTCTGAGCCAGCGAAAGCAGAAGGCCGTCAAAGCGAGACAAGGAAGCACAGCCCCTCGCCTGGATGCAAGACCCCAGCTGCGATGCCCCCGGAAGCCAAAGCTGCGGGCAGAAGCGTCGCCGACGGGACAAAGACAGCTGGAGACGTGTCTTCGTGGCTTGTGATGACAGTATGCTCGCAGATCGCGTGTCGCAGGATAAATTCGCCCGAATGGCCCAACTCCGCAGAACCCCAATAAGACCTGATCAAACGTTGTCATCCAGTTCCTACCACATTCAGATCAAACGAGAGAAGTGTTTGCCAACTTTCCAGCTGCGTGTGTCGTCGGCTGTGGCTAAGGCCGGGACATGTTCGCTTTCGACGCCGCTCGAACGCAAAAGCTGCCTCCGGAGCAGTACAGACAAGCCAAGCACGTCCCCACTGATGCATGATCAAAGAAGACAAATTCCGGAACGCTTCATCAAAGATGCGGAGTGGACTGAGGTCCACTCGCTTGCGGCTGACCGATGCGCTTTCCTCGCAATGCCAAGACCAAGACTATCCAAGACTTCGAAGACCGGGCCCGGGCGGGTCCGGGCGATTGTGCTGGTGCACACAAGCAGACTCCCGAACTCTCAGGCACAAGCTGCTTTGACCAAGCGTTGAAGCATACTCGAACAAGAGATGCCTAGCAAGAAGCTCCACACAAGTACGGATGCCTTGCTTCGTAACACCTAGTTACTTGCACCTTCTGCAAAGAGGAGCAATCATGTACGGTTGCAACGCACGTCCAACAAGATGCATGAGACTCTCATGAGACTCCGAAGTGCGTAGCACGAGTCCAAGTTCCTGCTGCTACTCTGCTCCGTTGCGCCTGCGGCTCCAAATACCACTGCTCGATTCAGAACTGATGCCCAACAACTAAATTGCACCTATTCTGGCCAACGGCACAAGTGATGAGACACGTTTGGCAAGTGACGGAAACATGCTTTGACTCAAAGGCAAGATGGCGCTGCAAGACAAGCCTTCCCAAATAACATGACTCACATGCATGCATGAGCAGCTGTGAAAGGTATGCACAAGACCTTCACACTTACATAAGATACACATGCATTTTCTGAATCGATGAAGTGCACTGACCTCTGCCGGCCTCCAAACCCACAGCCCAAGCCTGCACAACGCACGGCACACTGAGGACTTCGATGGTTCCCTCTTGTTCAGTGTCCCGGAGATCAAGTTCAGGCATGCACCGCAAATCCCGACCTCGAGAACTCGCAGGCAGCGCTCGTTATGTTCAAGATGCGCCGTGAGCAGCGAGCTGTACTCCTCAAGGGTGCACATGCAGCGCTGGACACGCTCCCAGAACCGTCGGTTTGCGTCCTCTGCAGACACGTCGCGGAATCGTGCTCGGGCTAGAGACCGCCAAGCTTGCCTGAAGCAGGAAGCAAACAGCCACGACTCCTCATGAACCATGGGCCATCGCGATAGGAAATCCAAACAGGCAGTCCGAGCAGTCGCTCTCGGAACATTCTGCAACCTGGAGTTACGGAGAGACTCCTCGCAGCATTCTTAGTGCGGTCCGGATTTCAGTCCATCATACTTCTGCTCCGGATCATCACCTGCACGCACCATCAGCGAGCTGAGTCGCGCACAGACATCGGCACTGGAGTGCAGTGCGAGAAGCAGCAGCCAAGGCTCCGGCCTGGAAATCACAAAAGCCCATGTGCAACCAGTGCCCTCCTCTTGAATCGCGGTACCGCAAGAGAAGCTGTGACTCTCGCCTCGAAAGCCCAACGCCGCGCAGCTGCCTCTGGACTACGGTCTCCAGCGCTCTGGTTTGCATGCGAGGAGGATGTTGTTAGCGCCATAAAAGAAAATTGTGTGGGTGTGTGTTCTGTATTGTTGTCTCCCATGATACAAAAGCGCTCAAATGCGTTTGTGACTTGTGTTGGCACAACAACAAAACACACTCAAGCATCCGTTTTGGTTCACTGTTGGGACAAGGACTTGCTGCGCTTGATCGGTCTAATCGTTGGGTCACGGAGTTGCTAAGCAACTCCAGCGCTCTAGTTTACGCGTCAGGATTGTCAGGAACGCTCAAGCCGGCATCATCCCTCCTGCTGGCAGGCGCTGGCGCATTTTTCTTGGAGACCTGATCAAGCAAGTTCATACTCACTCTCAACATAGCCCTGCATGAGGAATTTGCTCTAGTTCTCAAGTATGACGGCAGCAGCATTGCATGCCCCGTCAGGGTCCGAACGTTTCTTGTAGAATGCTGCATCACTCTGAGCCGCCAGAAGACCTTATGTGCCGGAGCTCAGAGTCCGCAATTCCAAACTCCAAGTCGGCCATGCTTGAAGTTGACAAGCCGTATCACTACCCTGTGGCGAGCCCCTGGCGCCTGCTGGCGACATTTTGTTTCCACACCTGCAACGTGGCCTCAGTGGCACACAATGTGGTAAGCCAAGGCCACCATATGTGAAAACTTAATTGGGCATCGGTGCATTCCGCTCTGTGCCTCTATCTGTTGCCATCCGGGAGCGGCTACATCCAGCATTAAGCGGAGCTGCTCAGGCCCGACCAGGAAACCTCCTCCCCGGCCCCGTTCTGACACTCAGAGGCCCCGGCAGAGGCGAGATTCAGTGCACGGTGCCGGCCTGGAGACAACTCAGGGCTGACTCTGCTTCGTACTTGCTTGCCCTGCTGAGTGGTCCAGTCATCATGTGTTGATTCTTCGGGAGTGCATCTCCTGAAATAGCCAAAGACGCAACCGAGACCTATGCAAAGTGTTGCAACGATGCCGCAATTGTCAATCGAGGTTGAAAACTTGGACTCGTGTTGAAGCGGCCTTCATGCTGCCTGCAATCAGATAGAGAGTGAAATATGGTGCAACTGAAATTCAGGACGGAAGGATTGTGGAGTGGGAACATCAGGCGACAAGATGTCTGGGTCAATGGAAGAAGCTCAGCCCTGTAGTTTACAAACAATCGAAATTGCTAGGGAAAGCGGCACAAACTTGTCACCTTGCATGCAAACAGCAACAGAAAACCAATCTGCACCGAAAGAGCCTTGCGCATCTGCAAAGAATGCCAGGCGCTGCTTCAGCAATGCCTCGCGCGAAGCCAGGCAGCCTGGAAGAGAGGCCTGCGTCTGGCTAGTCTGTTTTCGGTGCTATTTTTGCATCTTTTTGCAGTGTTCGGATACGCGCGGCGCACAATATCCTTTGAGGAGCGCTTGGGTTCTTGGACGGGCACGGTGGTTCGTGTTGGCACCGGAGCGACCAAATCTGGACCCTGCAAGCTGTGCTTCTATTGCAGGGACGGAGCTACCAAGCAAGCTGCGGGCACCTAACTAGCACTGCGAGAATTGCTGACCCCCTATATACTCTCACATGTTTAACGTCTCAACTCTAATCAATTCCGCCATCTCTGCTGCCCTACAGTAAAGCAGCTTTAGTCTGCAGGTCAGACCGAGGGTTGTGGGCAGCGAAGCAACTCGGGGAGAGAGTAGTCAAGGAATAAACCTCGTAGCTTTAGCCGGGCAAACCCAGAAGTCCCAACAGCTCCATCAAAGGGGTGTTGATTTCCCCCTTGCCTTCTCGGGCTTCACCGGCTTCTCGAGCTTCCCTTGCTCAGGCTTCAGCTGCGATGCTGCCAGCAGCCTCGGGATGCAATTGCAGGCGGCAGAACACAAGACGAAACATGGCGATGCTTCGTAACCACCTGCCACTCCGGAATCTTGCAGACACTGCACAGCCCGCCTGGACGGACGGCAGCGCCCCTCTTGGCCTCGTATATGCTCTAGTTTCGATGATCTCTCGCTCTCTTTCTCACAGTTCACAACAAGCTCCTGATCCTGCGCTCGGGAACGGAACATGACAGACCAAGGTGCTAGAATCACACACGACGACGAGACCCAGAGAGCGAGAGCAAGAGCGACGGAGAGTCCGTGCCAACTTGAGAAATTCACAAAAACCATCCAAAACGGCTCCCAGATCTCCTCAAATCTCGCTGCCCTCTCAAGACACTTGTTTTCTCCTCTCTGCCCGTGGCTGGCCATCCTTGTCCAGTCCCCTCTCCACAGAAGTGTAACGATTCTGTACGCTCAAAAACGACCTTCGTGTCGACAACCTTGGTCATACTTAGACCGACCCCGTCAATCGCGACACTTCAATGCCTCTCTGGGGGCTGGCAAGGTGGCAGTCTTGACTTTGATCTCTCGAAAGATGCGCAGACTGGTCACACGAACTGCATCAGTAACCACTTCTACATAATAAACTACATTGGGTGGACAACTAGAAGGGATTCCAAGTGTTTCCGGCTGTTGCGGATTTGGCTCCTACCATCCTCCGAGGGGAATGGGAGGACTATTCTGCAATCAACCCCCAAATTGACACGAGCAGCCACCACCGGCCAATGCGGCTTACCGGCCTGTCTGCAGACGAAGAGTATGGCAAAACGATCTTGCTTGTTGCAGCTCATGCTCCGACACTGCCCACAAGGCTGCAACATGGATGCGGAAGCGCCGGTGGGGTCTTCAGCTTTCCGGCTGGTACAACAGTCGCATCTCCAGCAGACTCACTCGCTATCAATGGTCCTTGGCCCTAGGCCTTCTGAAGACCTCTGGCACAGTGCGAGCCTCTCTTTGGGGCAGAACGACTGTGGAAAGCTTGGGTTGGCAGGGCATGAGGGGTAGCCACTTGGTTACAAGCAGGGTGGCCAGTATCGCCGAAGTTCAAGCAAGCAAAGGCTGTCTGGCAGCCAAGCCGTGTGTTTCCACAGACATCCATACGAAACAAAGCCTTGCGAGCTTGCCGAAACGTCTGAGGTTTGCACAGGTCACGAAGGCAATCTCAGGGCTGAGGCTGCTTGGATGGTGGGGGAGGTATTGCCTCGAGAGGACACACACCCCGCCCCCCCGACATCCTTCCAAAAATGGGCTGCTGGCAGCAGAAGGGAAGCACCCGAATGGAGACATGTCCCGTCCCGTTCCATCAGAACCGGGCGTCTTGCCACAGTCCGGCTTCAGTCAAAGGGCTACAATTCCAGAGTACAGGTGAGGCCGGACTGTGCGAAACTTGGAACTTCGTCTCCATCGGATGGCCATCGGCACTCCAGCTCAAAGCATGAAGAGTCTACAAGTCAAACGATCGTGAAGACGTAGAACAGGTTGACAGCAGGGGTTCGGACGAGTCAGCCAGAACAGGTAGCTTGCAGCTTGCTGCAGTGCTAATGGTGCTTCCCTGACGATGGCTCTGATTTCTGCGAAGCGCTATCCACGTCATTGTAGACGGTCAAGCATCACAATCATCACAAAATGGCAAATGCTAAAAAGGCAAAAAGGTGTAAAATAAGAGCCACAGCATGTCAACACATGTAGTATGACTACAACTACAACCCATCGACCTTTCTGAACACATGTTAGCCGAAACCACTTAACCTTTGGGTTATTCATGTTATTCTGTCTCCGTGACAGCTGTGGTGCTCCCATTGATACTCTTGCAGATCACCTGAGCAGCAGGGATGACTTCTGGATCTAAATGTTGAGAGGTCTACGGTGGGATGTCTGAGCGTACCGGTAAAGAGATTCCTTGTCCGTCCGGCACTCACAGCGAACTTTTCCACAGCCCAAACCAGCCAAGCTACTAGTCGACCGAATTCGTGGTTCAATCGCAGGTGCGGCCGATCCTGTGCAATTCCGATCAGGCTTTCCGTCAGCTACTGTTTGCTGGTTGAGGCCGTCTGACATGTACCGCCACCACCAAACTTCAGGCTGAGTTCGCCAGTGTGTGGGATGTACCAGAATGCCCTGCTAATGATCGTAACCTTCAGATTCCCGAAAACCCGCAAAAGCTGTTATAATCTGGACCGCGGCGCCTGAGCGCCTCGCCGCTGCGACGGCGCCACAGATGCGTGAGATGCGTGGCGAGAGTCCGCACGATACCTTCTGCTGCTTTGTTGGTTTTCTGCGGAGTGATTCCTTCTGCTGCACCATTTTCGTTCTTGCCTGCGGCCCCTATCTCACACTAAACACCATGTGGCCCCAGAATACTAGCACAATGGAAAGCCCCGAGCGCCAGCCATTCCGAGCCCCGAACTGCTGACTGAATTATGTTGACCCGTTTTAGGCCCCGCCGGATCCACTGCCAAGAAACCTCGATCCTGCTCGACTGCTGGTTGAAAGAGCCGTCCGAAAGGTGTCGAACAGTTGAGGGTCCTGGTAAATGAAGTGGCATGGCACTGCAAACAAGCTTGAAACGAGGTCAGATTGCTGTTGGCAAGGCTCGAAGAGAGGGATGGGTTGCGGAAGCTCTGTCGATCCCCGAACTTGCAACAGTGCGGTTTTGCAGGATAACACCATGCCGCCATGCCGACAGACATCCAAAGATCTACTTCACACAAGAAGATGCGCAACCGACGTGGCCGTGAGAGTTAGAGCCATGGCCTTCTGGCTCTGGATGGCGATCAACGGAGTACCCCAGCAGTGCATTGTCCTCGATGCTCAAATCTCGCGCTGCCGGAGGGCATTCACTGGACGCACTGTTCCGACCAAGCTGCAGCTGCTGAAGAATGTACTCGAAGCCGTCCACCTCACGTCGATATGCTCGACGATTCTCCCGGTTCGGCCCACAGCCAAGCGGCAGATGTCGAAAGCAAGGACCAGCCGCTGGGTATTGAGATCAGGGTGCCACGGAGCCGCGGCCGTGTCTGCGAGCATGGAAGATGGGGGATGTTGGAGGTCAGGTCAGCATACAGCATCGTCTGCCTACGGTTGCCCTGTTTGCCGGCGTTCACCGGGCAAAGCATAAAAGCCTGCTGCCTCATCTTCTGGGCTTGTCGACGGCCTTGTTGGAGGTCTTTTGCAAAGCCATCGGCCGTGGTATCTAAATAGACTAGTACTGTACTACACTCCTCATCTAGGACCTTGACTTGCACGATGGAGAAACATCAGCTATGCTTTCACACTTTAGCAAAATTGTGCTACAGGCTGCGATCCTTCGACCGCGGGAGATTCTGGCCAAGAGGCAGAACGGCGTACTGGCACCCAGCAATGGTGACCTGAGTGAGCTCAAGTCCAACGACAGTGAGTTAACTTCTAGACATGCAATATGTCAATGGTGTCGACATAACGGTTCCAGCGCTGGGCCCGCAAATTCCCCAATCAAGAGCTTCGGGACATGCTGGCTCAATTCAACCCGCGACTCTCAGTACAGTACTTTCATTCAGGCTTCAAGGACAGCCGCCTTTATGAAAAGAAACACCCATCGGAGAGGGTTTACTGGTGAAGTTCTGAATACTCGCAGCACGGCTGAATTCACGATGAGCTGCTGTCTCGCTGGGCTTGGGGTTTCCTGACCAGGGATGGAGGCTCGAGAGATGACCTGCAACGCGGCACGCGAGCAGACTGCCGGCTGCTCACGACTCGTCTTGCCAAGCGGCTCTGTCGACAGAACAGGGCAGCCTCTCAGAAGAGAGGCAAAGGGCAAGTCGAGATATGTCCGTCTTGTCAGTGGGTGGAGAACTCCACCACAGTCGTGGCACTGGAAGCATGTTGTCGAAAGCTGAAACTTCTGGTGTCATGGGCTTCGATATACGGTGTGTTAGCGGGGATCTTCCGCTCCTGTCCTGAGAAGGCAACTTCGAGACCGAGACCCGAGTGGGGCCCCGTCCCAGCCTCGCGGCTTTCGCTTTCGTCGCCCGGGCTAGGCTCAGGTTCAGGTGCCTGCGAAGCGACCATGTGCTCACATAGAAGTCAGTGCCATGTTTACTGTAGGCAAGCTTCGTTGACCAGAAATTCCGATGCGATCTGCGGGTCAACGATCTGTTTCTCGTCATCGTCGTTGAAGCGAACTTTCATCTGCTTCTGGGTTTTCCTGTTCAGGGCCTATATGTCCAGCTTTGGTGGTGGGGCATGCACGATTCTTGCAGTGTCTACAAGCACCGAAAAACTCGCATGTTTTGCAGGTCCACCCTGCCTAGTTCCATGTCGGTGCTTGCACGCCTCTAAGGAATCTTGCTCCTTCAGAAATGTGGCAAGAAGCGTCGATCGGTGTTGCGCACGAGAACGGAAGTCGCCGCAGCAGCGTTAAGACTTCGAAATCACAGCGTGGCCATAATCTTAGCACACAACCACTGGACCAAAACAGACGAACTCTGTTTTCGCTCTTTTGCGCGCAAGCTGGGGTCCCCTTCCGTTGGATTCCCCTTCCCTCCTCTTCCATTCTTCCGTTCTTCCTTCTTCCATCCCTCCTTCCTCCTTCCCTCCTTCCCTCCTTCCCTCCTTCCTCCTTCCCCTACTCCATCCCTCCCTCACGCTGCACGGCTTCGTTTGGCTGTTAGGGCCCATTTTGCCAAGAGCTGCAACGAAGTTGCTGTCTCTCTGCCCGCATACTGCAGGCTGGTTTAGAGGGAGTCAAGGCTCAGATGCGCTGACTGCAACAATTCGCAACAACGTTCTAACCGTTGATTAGACTGCTGTCGCTTGTTGGGAAGTGCAGGTAGGTTCGGACGTCCTCCTCCTCGTGGCACCTCGAGCCAGAATGGCTCCCAGAGCCGATTGGCTCAACACGGCTCAACCCTGCTTAAGCGCCCTTGTAGGGGAGCGTGAAGCCCCAGCTGAGACATCTGAGGAACAATAGAAAGGTTCACTCCCCAGAGTTTCAGCTGTACGAAAGAGTGGCAAAATATGGCAAAAGTCCCCCGAGTGTGATCAAGTGTCGAAGCAAAGCGAAAGAAACCAGAAGTTGTAGTGCGCTGCTTGTGGTCACACAGCGTCAGGATTAAGCCAACATGTCACTGCTACTAACCGCTACCACATTGCATGTAAGCATGTGCAGCACAAATTGACAAGCAGCTCAGACGCAACGGTGTTTCTTTCTCTCTCTACCAGGCAAGGAGGAGGAGGAGGCGGACACGGCGGACACTCCTCCCCTCCACGCGCGGACGCGCACTTGCGGGTCTTGACAGGCTTTAGACTTTCCGTCGGGGCGAAGCCCCGTCTGGCTCGGCTGTTGTCTTGCTTTCTTTCACCGGGGTTGTGTTCTCTTTCTCTTTCTCTCTCTCTCTCTCTCTCTCTCTCTACCCTCTTCTTCTTCTCCGGGGCATAGGGTGCGAGTTAGGCACCCCGTGCCGAATGGCACCCCCCTGTTTCGGGGCCTTGTGGGGGTCGTAGAAGCAAAAACATGCATAGGGATGCCAACTCAGCCATTAACGTGAACCAATAACTCTACCCTCTCTCTCCAGGGCTGGGGGTGGCCCCCAACAGCGCGCTAGCGCGCTCTCTCTTGCTTGCTTGCTTACACGGCGTGTGGGCTCAGGGCCTCAAGACGCCAAACCCTGCGCGCGAGCGCTACGCTGATGTCCGAGTCTGGCGTCGCGTGAGACAAAATCGGAGAAAAGCGAGGGCTCAGTGTACTCATTGAAGAGGACGAACCCAGTAATCAAACAGAAAGTGTTTGCATGCACCCAGCCCCCGATTACTCCGAGCCTCCCGCAAGTTGCTGGCCCGGGCCCCCAGCGGAATGTGAGCTGAATGCTGTGAAGAGGTGCCAGCGTCTCTCTGCGCGTGGACTTGATGACGCTCTCTTCTTCGACAGGGCATGGGGGACGGGTTCAGATCCCCCGGCCACATGGGCCCCCCATTTGTCATGGGGCTTTGTGGAGACGCTTCCGACTCTCTCTCTCTCTCTCTCTCTATCTCTTTCTCTCTCCTATGTCGCCAGAACCAGTCCTGTCGCAGACACTTTCGCATCTCATCCAGCGCCTGTCTCTCCTGAAACAACAGTACTGAATACATGCTGTGTAGAGGCTTTGAGACTTGTGCCAAATGGATGTCCGGAATTGCAGCGGGTTCAAGACACACTGCCCTGAAACAGAACGTTCACATCTGAACTGATGCTCGTGCATGGTCGAGAAAGCATGGACAGCCCTGACCCATCAACTCACGCCAAGCCACCACGCGAAGTTGGACCTCCTTCCGTTCCAGGGCTTCGAACTCATACCTGCCCACATCGTGCAGCACGGACAGCTGCCAGCACAGTCAGCATCACGCCATCACCTTATATCACCTTCCCGCTGTACAGCAAGACTTACGTTGCTGTCTGACTGCGGTGTAATGAGTCCGGGAACTTCACTTCGGATCCTGGACTGGCCAGCTGTCACTCCTGTGTGCGTGGAGTGATTTACAAATGGCGACAACGGGCTATCTGGCGTGCGATGCACGGTGGCCACACCAAAGGCTCGTCGCTGTTGACATATACCATCTCTGCGACCAGGATGCCGAAGCTTCGCATCCAGCTCTTCGATAAAACTGTTCACCCCCTGCCCAGAGTCGATCGGCATGAACGCGTTTGCTCTCGAAACTGGGCAACAGTTGCAAAGTCACATGACTGCTCGATTAAGTGCGGGGCTGGCAAGCAAGCAAACGGTACCGGCTGGTTGACGCCTTTCGGAAGGTCTCCACGAGATGGGTCACGAGGTCGCCCACCTCTCCCCGACAGGAGAGGACCAAGGAAGCGAAAGCAAAACGGCTGGGCTGCCTCTTCATCTTCGAGGTGCAGCAACGGCATCCAAATCCACAGCTTGGGCTTTCTCCTCTGTCCACCTCTGCAAACCTACAAAGTGGAAGTACAAGATCCCTCTGACCGTGAAATGTGGCTCCAATTTAGCTTGGGCATGTAAAGTCCGCCTTGCTTTGACGTGAAAGATAAAACATTTCAGTTAAAATGGCTGCAGACGGGGAAGCTTGGAAAAAGCAGCCCGCGATGCAAGAGACACATTGCTCAGCAGACGTCATGGATTTGGTCAAGACAGCCCTGGCCCCGACAGCAGCAGGTGAGCTGCGAGCCGCTCGGTTGTGCACAACCGCTTGGCTTTCGCGCCCTGCATCAGACCACATATTGCTGGATGCATGGTACTGTGGAAAGTCGTGGCCGGGAATGCTGGCATCCTAGCCGCTGTGTCGGTCTCCCATCACCGCCCGTATCCCAGATGGTGCTGCTTACCCGACATTCCTTTGCCAACTAGCCGGTGAGCCCAGTGTGCAACTATGAGCCGCGATTCGTCGTACAGCCGTTAAGACAAGCACCGTTAATCTTCCAGCGGTATGCTACAGCACCGGATTCCTGCCTCTCCGAAACGGCTCTTCGAGAAGAGCGCGGGCGAGGTGCCTTCGTCTAGCCGAGTGCCCCTGCTTTAAATCGTAATCGCTTTGGCTGCTAGGTTTTGAAAGTGTGGTGCACGCTGGTTTTATAGCACATCCATCGGCACACAATACTGCCATGTATCTTTGTCCAGACTCATCGCCACATTTGTTCTGACGTGGAGAAGTGTCTGTGCGTGTGTGGACGGGGGGTGGCGACGGTGGCGGGGGGGGCGGGAGCGGGGGGGTGAAAAAATGTCGAAGGTCGTTATGTACGGTAAAGAATTCGCTCCTGGTTCCTCCGTGCAAAATCTGTTCGCTACGATGCCGATGCCGAGGAGCCGAAAGCAGAGCACACAAAGACCACATCACAAGTGCCACCCAACAGGATCTAAAAACTATGGACGCTACAACTTGTCGCTCCCTGGCAGAGATAACGAAGTCAGGATGCCATACAGCAGCCCCATCGTCTGCCGCGCAGGCAGCGGAGATGTCAAGTGGATTCACCTACATACAACTACACACTGCAACTGTTCCCTTAGGACATTTACGTGTGTGGGCAGAGTGAGCTTTTGTCTTGGTTTCTAGATTTAAGACGTACGCCAGCCAGGCCAGTTGTCCTCTGGGCAGTGCACAATTATCGCTGTGTCGAGCCTTGAGCAGCCCCATGGTTACCATCTGCGACACAAACTCGCGGCATAAAAAAAGAGCAAAGCCCAAGGCGGTCAAGAGGTCTCTCAAGGTGGCTCATCACAGCTGCCGGTGCAACATGCTCTGGAGACATGACTGGGCGAATATGTCCTCAAGCGAAACAGATAGTCCCATCGTTTTGCCGATATCACAGCGTGGCGCGTCACCAGAAGGTCACGTAGAAGGACTCAAAGTATACGACTCCAGCCACCTTGGTGAAAGACTCATGCGCCGCCTGTTCGCGGTTCCCGCGATGGATTAACCGACCGTGTGACCGAGCCGAAGGCAGTGGCAACAAACATGAAGGCGGTGAAGGTGAGGCAGGCCAGCAGCCAGTACTCCATCGCTTTGTCCTGGAGCGAGTGGGAAGTTCTTCCATTCCGAGTCGCATCGACAACGACCGACCCAATGCTTGTCCTGCCAGGATTTTTGGAGGGCGTTGGCGTCCTCGCAGCGACATCGTGATAGAGTTGTCACAAAAACTCCAACACGAAGTCCAGCGCAGAAGCAGCGTGCAGTCGCACCTCCACCCAGAAGAAGAAGAGGGGTGTCGTAGCTGTGATGCCGAAAGTTGCCTGTCCAAGACCGCTGCAAGCGGACTGCAAGGCTTGCCCTGGCCGTGCCATGCCGCAGAGAACGGCCTCGGCCTCCTTCACTGCCAGGACATAGAATTGCCGCTGTTCCTGTCTGTGTCAGCGAGGAGGACAGCTGACAGGGCAGATGCGGGCTCAGATCTTATACACTTGATACCCTCTGACTCTTTCGCAAATCTCTTTCTCTTTCTCGAAACGACAAAGAACAAGGCCGCTGCTCAAGGCCCCTCCCATGTCCTCGTTCAGCAGCCGGACACCACTTCGCCTACAGCTGACGCTTGGGTGCGGTCAGTTTCACAGCTTTCGAGCTGAGGTCTCCAACGCCGACGGCTTGTCGTACTCCCCGCAGCGGAAGCCGTTTTGGTCACTGGGCGCAGAAGGTATGCGAAACTGTAGACTGCACCAGGCTGCGTACTCGCGTAGCTTGCTTGGGCTTGCACCAGCAGTTAAGTCCAACAGCCCAATAGTCGTAGCTGGCCGGGGCCTCAGCAGTGGCAAAGTAAGCGGTTGTGGCCCAGCTTCTTGCAAGTCTGCTCATGTCATGTGGCACTTCGCATCTTGATATACCGATAAAACTTACGGCGGCAAGGCGATTCAATGGTGAACGCTCCATGTCTGCTGAGCTGCTTTGGTGGCATTCTTGTTGATGATGGGCGCTACACAATAGAGATCGCTGTTCTTGAAACCTGCAAGCATGCAATTGCATCTTGAGCCGCACGTGTTCAACTCCGTGTTTGAACTTTGAAGCCTAGTGCTGCTTGGTGTGGCAACCAACATCAGCTAGTTCTGGGCTGGCCTATGTACTTGCCAGCGTCGATTTGAGCACCCGGTGCAAATTCGACGCCTCGCCCAAGCGGAGCAAAGAAGAGCATCAGTGATTCATGTCACGGAGCATACGGAGCCAGTCCAAGGATGCGGCGGCCGATGTCCAAGTATCGGCTACTTGAGTCGGCAGCTGGATCCTAAGGGCATGTCGCATCATGTCGCATGCCCTTTGAAACATGTTACAACCAGATTCGTCTTGAGTTTGCATGCAGGCTATCAAGGTCCCCACGACATTGGATGCCATAGCCAACCGATGCAGCGTTTCAGACCTCCAGCAAATGCACAGAGCCGTGCCGTGGCTCTGACCGAGCCGAGAAGGAAGTGCGGAGCAGAGTGAAACTGTTCAAACCTGGGACCCCTGCGCAAGCATGTTTTTGGAATAGTTCCTCAGATCACGAGATCTAGTTTCGGGAGACTTTTCGATGCTACAAAAGTACAGCAAAGCTACCAGCAGAACCAGAAACAAAGCCATCTACCAAGCAGTTTCTACAACGAAGCAACTCGTTGCAATCGAGCTGCAAGCGTGCAAAGCAGACGGAAAGGACCAGCGCCACTGACAGCGCAATCCCCTCGTCTCGTGCATTTAGCGACATGACTCGATCCGTGCAGCAAGGCTGTTCTTTAGGCTCGGCAACAGCCAGCCTGCCTGTACAACTATCGGCAAGTCCAACCGGTTTCGATGATCGGACGTTCTGCTTATGCTCTGAACGATTCCCAAGCGGCTAGGAAGATGTACCAGAAGGGAAACACAGTCCTTGGCAGAGCTTGGCAGCACGGCGCTTGGTGCTTACCGTAGGTGGCCAATGGAAAAAAGCTTTTGGCAACCATCAAGACGGTGGCCAGGAAACGATAGAGTACAACGGCCCTCACCCGCAATGTGAAGACCGTTTCAAGACATAAGTGTCCCGCGTTCGCCCTGCCAAGTACCTCTCCGGTCACAACAAGTCTCAGCTGAGTAAGCAGGCCAGAATTCAGAAGCGTGCGCTACATGGACATCTCTGGCGAAGGATGCGCTGTCAACGAACCCGTCTACTGGCATGGCAAGGCTGGGCCTCCGCAGCATGAGGGAGATAATGTGAAGGCAGAGCAAGTAGCCCAGTCCGAGGAGCGTCTCGGGCCCGGGGGAAAGGCACATTGGGGAGTCGGGCTGCCTGTGGGGAAGTCTACTGGTTCTCGTTTGTCACACCTGTTACGCTTTATTTTAACGTCCACCGCGGATGGGATACTGAGAGCTGGGCAAAAGCTGCATAGACAATGATGGGATAATGGGTTTCCAAACTGGAGGACCTGACCAGTGCTTGAGTCACAGCTCCGATCTCGTGTAAGGGTCACCCTCTTCCTTGGATGTCCCTCTGCAGCTCTTCAAGGGCTTAGGGTCCCCGCGCCAGGCCGGATGCCTTGCTTGATGCGCATTTGTCACCAAAATCAGTGGAGTTCCTCCGATCCAGTCTCCCGGTCTGACTCCGACTTCCCCGCAAAGATAACAACCGATTGCAATGCCTAGGCCTTAAATTTAAAGCCTTAAAGCATCGGACAGCGTTGGAACCTTCGTGCAGAAGAGATGCTGCTGCGAAGACGACGCTAGGGATGAACCAGCACAGGAACACCTCGCTTGAATTTCTGTCACGGCGGCCATCTTCCCGGCTGAATTGCGAATCTGGATAACTACATCTGTCCGGATTCTTCTCTGTCCCTTCAGCTTTTTCAGTGCTGCACCTGAATGTTGTTTGGGATGGAAGGACAATGAATGGCAACAACTAGCAGCCTTGCGAGGGGTCAAAATGGGATCTGAGCGTCATCCTGACAAACCTGTCCCTGTCTGACGACATGAAGGTCCACGGACCAAATCGGGATGCCAATGCAGCATTGGCCGAGAACTCTGAACGAGCTTTGACGAGCGAAAGCGGCACACCCCCCACAGACAACGCTGAAACGGCCGCTTGTGTGCCCCTGTATTTTTCATATCTCCCGTGCATCACTCACCAGGCTGCAGGCTGCACATCTTCGACATATCCACTGCCGCCACAACAGGCAAGTCTACGCAACCGTGCCACTGGGCGTGCGACACCCTGAAAAGGCAAAGTTACCTTCGGCTGTCGCCTCAGAGATGCAACAGAGAGCACCTGCGTCACGTGATCTTCAATGTCGACGGCGAAACTGAGAACTTGGCTTGGTGGGACCAGGCAGGCTGCCATATGCCTTGTGCGAGGACCCGAGAAGAATTTGCAAACTGGAGCAAGACCTGTTTGGGTCGTGCCCGCGACTGGAAGTATTCAATTTTGATTCCTCTTCATTTCGGATATCAGGCCTGCTGGTACTGTCCCGAGCCATAACCTGGCAAATCATGGCGAAGCTGTGAGTCTGGACGGCGGGATGCAAATGATTCAATAGCTCCTGCTATGGCAAGCTACCGACCGACATCGACTAGTCCCAATACCACCACCAGTCACACGGTAGACCACGACAGGACCCGTGGTTGCTACTGAAATGGCACTGCTGCTGCCGCTGCTTCTGCTGCTGCTCTGCTACTACTACGACGACGATTACGACGACTTACTACCACTACGCCAACGCCTGCGACTGTGACTGCCACGGCGACTGCGACTACGACGACGATTACTCCGACTACGTGGGACTAGGAAAACGGCAGCGACTGCTGCTGCTGCTGCATCTACTCCTTTCACCAGCTCGAGAGGAGTCCAACATGGCAGGTCAGCCATACATCTCCGTTAACCTCGGCCGCTCTCCTACGGCTAAGGACATGGCGACCTTCGCTCTGCATGGGCTTCGACGCCTGCACCTTTAAGATCCTTTAAGCCTCAAGCAAGCCTGAAAGCGAAGCAGCATGCAGCAGCTAGGTCCCCTGCAAAGAATCTGTTCGTTCTCCTCAGAGGCAGCTTGCATCAAAAGACCCCGCCGGCGACTCACGCTAAGTAGCACGGCACGACATTGAGACTAAGACGACTAAGACATGCCGTACAACCGGGCATCAGGCGGAAGCCCAGAACTGGGCCTGTTTGGATTGCCCGATTTGCCCGAACTCGGGCCTTCGGGCAAGGAGTGGGCCGCCGCCCAGGTTGAGCCAGCTGGCTACAGAATAGGAGCTGCACATGTGCATCCAGAACCAACGGGACAAAAAGGGAAGCAAAAGATTTGCGACAGGGCTATGGCCCCTTTTCCCCTTGCGATGCTTCCGAGCGAACCTCTTACCTGGCAACGAGTGCCACACAGCTCTTTGGACCTGGATCGTGTTCACTTCTGCTGCATGGATCGAAAAGGTGCCTGTCGCAAACGACGCAGTTTTGCAATGGCATGATTGAAAGAGCATGAGGCATCACAACACTCTCCAGATGACAAGCCGGAACATCGATCCACAAAGCCGAAGAGCCAAGGAGGCGTGCTCACTAATTCTGTTGGCGTATTCATGCAAAGCATCAAAACCTGAGAAGACTGACGAGATCCCTTCGAAAACCACTCACCAGGACAACACGTCAACATTGGCAGCCAGGCTGTACACTGTTCAATGGTGGGCTGCGTGGGCGCAGGCTTCCGGCCGCCATGATACCAAAACAAACACTTAACATGGGGGGCACAAAGTGCTTTCAGATAGAGAAGGGAATTGAAGCATAAGAAGGATCTGAACACACAAGCGATGGTCGGACAGCATGCCCCTCCTTCCCCTAAAGGCTCGCAAACTGAGCCGCTCAGCCTATCAGAAACTCGCGCTTGCCAGGTTGGCCTTTGTTATTTTGCTGTTGTTTGAGGATGCCAGCACTGGCATGCGCGAGTTTTCGATAAGTCCATGCCTCTGCCACGAGATACGGATCCCCAAAACTACACCATCTCAATGCAGAGGACTTCAGGTGTACGAGAGCTGCCTAGAGCCGCGCAAGACAAGTGAAAGTTCATGTGGTTCGTGTGGACTTCATCACACGGATCTCAGCAAGGTGTCTGCTGCACCGCTTGCGTGCACTTGCGGCTGATTGTTGCTTTGCTGCTTCTGCAGGATGCTTGCTCGGGACTTGGGTCAAGTCTGGAGGCTGCAGGATTTCTGGGTCGGCAGCTCAGCTCGTATCACCTATCGCGCTTGGCCGCCTGCCAATCCTGGACTGCTATAGGGCAGATACGAAATCATCTGCAACTCTATGTTTTTGAGGAAAGCTCAACACTGCTCGTGTTTAGTTTGAGATAAGTGCAACGGTCTAGGCCGGAAGCAGTCCAGGATCCAAAATGGGGCCAAAGGGAGGCTTTTGCGCCCGGCACCAGAGGCGCCTGTACCGGTACCGTGCAGCCTTCTACCCGAACTGTCCCCAGGGAGGAGAGCATACAAGGTACGAAAGCTTTGAATGGCTTTTGCGGCCGACGGCTTCTCCACCCCTGACTGTTCAGGTTGACATTTGGCGGCTGAGAGCGCAGCAAGGCTTCGTATTCAAAATGGAGGTGCGACATTCGTGAGTGGTGCCCACGCTACGGCTCTCAAACCACAGAAAGGGTGTTGCAAGCGCTTTGCTGTGGCAGGCAAAAGCTTCTGCCACATTGCTTAGCAGTTCGGAAACGAATGTTCAGCTCTCCAACTCATCTGACGTTCTCATCGTCATCATGTATCAGATACCACGATGTCACTCCACTGCCAAGGAAACTGGTGGATTCCAGCTCTGTCAATTATACTCTATGCAGCCTATGCATGACACATCATGACACCAAGACCTACTGTTCCAGAACAGTCTTGATCTTCCATTCCGGCGTGCCGGTAGAAACCTTACGGTCTCGCCACAAGCCTATTTACGACAAACATGGACTCTTTCCACAAGATCTTCACTAGACACGGAAGAATCGACCTGTGAATGATGAAGTACTGACGGGTCCGACACGTAGCATAGTTGCTGCATGGGTGGAAACAACGATTGAGAAAGTCGATGGCGATGCTGACATCAGCGGCCGCTTACGGACACTGCACCCAAGGCCAACCTGCAACGACCACCGAACTCACCAAATCCAAGGAAAATCCCGAATGATGCACACTTTCTAGATGGTCGAAGCATCCTGGCCAAGACCCAGAAAGCCCGCCGCCGGATGCGAATGCGAATTGCGCTTATTTTCTCACAAAGCTTGCTCGTGCCCGCTCAATTTGAAGAGCAGGCAAGCCTGCATTCTGGAAGAGGCCCTCGCCACACACGACTGGCAAGTGCCAGCACTTGCTACTCTGGCTGTTGCCATTCACTTCCAGCAGTAAGAGCACATTACACACATTAACACACCCCACAGCAAATCTGGATTCGCAGATTCAGGGATCTCTCGATCACACCAGAAATCGTCTCCCGATGTGGTTCAGCATCAAGCTTATCCGTAAATTCGGAGCGGCACAAGGTGCTACCTCCCAGGATACAGGCAAACTCAAGGAACTGCACTTCGCTTGAACTTGGAAAGCTCGGCTTTTTGCCTGAACTTGCAACGTTTAAGTCTAGATTCTTTCTGGTCGCATGGGCCATCAAGCTGCTGAAGCGTTTGCTCATGACGAAGCATTTGACCAAGTTCAGACTCCCTCGTCACCCCGACTGGATCGGAAGCTTCTTCGGACCAGGAGTGGTGTACTAGAGGAACAGATGTATTAAAGTCGGGAGATGGGGTTAGTTGGGAATAGGTACGAGATCGCTGCGAAGGCTGCATGCGTGTGTTTTGGCAGCCTTGGCCTACAACAGTTAAAGAGACGTGCTGGAGTTGCTTGATGAGGTGTGACATGCGACTGAGTTGAGTTTCCCAGATCCAGCCAAAGGAAACGAGGCCCGAGGAGAAGTACTTCAGCTCACTTGCCCGGTTCAGCCGTTTTATGCTGGGTTCCTCTCGGCTTTCAGCTCATTCAGGCTGGGGGCTCGGAGCAAGTGCTGCGCCATCGAGATGGGTTAACGAAACAGTTGCCACATGGCTCCTCTGCATCAAGTCGATATGCAGAGGGATGCTTGTCGCGCTTCTTCTACAAACAGATACTGCAATCAAGTCAAGACTCGTTCTGAACCAGTTCACTGGACAAGCAACGACAAGTGATGAACACGGCTGGCACCCGGAAATGGACTATCCAACTGAGGCTGCCCGAATGCAAACATGTGTTTCGCTTCACATGGTTTGGAAAATTGCCAACCCAACCCCGGGTGCGCAATCACTCCAACGGGAACTCTGCCTGCTGCGACACTGGGCATCAGCTGAATGCCGCGCGCGATGTGCCGAATCGGAGTGCCAACATGAAGAGTCTTAGTGCGAAGATGCTCACAAGGCGCACGATGTCACGTCTAAACATCAGATCAGGGCTTCGTTGGTGAGCACAAGGTGTTCAATGAAGCTCGGAGTGGCGAATCTCCCCCTGTTGAGGATGAGGATCTACCGTAGTTCGAGCAGACAGCGATCCTCGTATGGGGTGTACAGGTCCCGCAGCGTTCAACATTGCAGGTTGTGTTCCATGAGATGAGCGCTGGTCCCTCATGGAAACAATGGCATGAAAACTCAAAACTTTACAGAAATTTCTTGCGGATGAAGCCCACCTGGCCCGCTTGCAAACTCGAGGGAGTGCGTCTGATATGGTGTGTGCTCAACGCGTCTAGCTATTGGCTGCCCGCACACATGTTCATCCGCTGAGGTGATCCCGCCACGGCAATCTAAGCCGACTGGAAGCCGAATCAGCAGTGACCGCGGCAGGAACCTCTGAGTGAAACCCGAGTCGGAAAAGATGGTCCAGCCACGAAGAATTTGCATAAACCTTTACCTTCTTTGGAAAACCGACGGCTGGTCCATCTGAGAAAAGATTCGCCGTGAGTGGACGCCACAGCTGCGAAGGAGGCTTGCTTGCTACTTTTTGTGTACAGCTGTCTTAAGTCCACTCCAGGCTGAGATGTGCAATGAGCTCTGGGGACAAGGGTCAAAGGGTGGACTTTGGGGGCAACTGGAGCCGCATGTGTTCACACGCCGACAGCAATGCTGCCCGAGGGAACAAATTCCAAGAGAGGTGCAGTGCTTTCATCACGGATTGAACGAGGTGTCCTACCCTCCCTGCCGCGAAGCTCAGACGAAGATAGTGCGTTTCTGACTGTTTCATGCTTCGCGGTGAGGGTAGAAATAGTACGGATGATGCCCTCGTAAACTCCAAGAAGCCTGCACTGGTCCGTGCGCCAAAGTGGCCCCGGGCTTCCATCGTAAGGTCGCCGGAGCCCCAAGTGTCGCATTTCTCCCCTCATCCCCGTCAGACGCATGACGGTTTGGATTTGGACAGTATGTTGAAGTCTGGTGGGCCCACTTTGCTCTGCCGTCACACGCCCAGCTCGAAAGCTCGGGTCACACGGAGTGCCTTGACTGGCGTCAGCACTGCGAGGCACCTCAGAGCACCAAACCGGGGGAACACGGAGCTCTGACAAACTAGCATTAAGTATGCACAAGGTGTCCGCAAGTGATGCGTCACACAACGTCTGCTAGTAGCAATTGGAATGCTGCCCAAGATCGACGCCATGCATCTTTCAATTTCGAGACCCGCACCGCTAGGCCACCCCTCCAGCACTAACGCCCGTCGAAAAGGCCTGCCAGGAACATGCTGCCATACTCTCCCACGAGCCATAGTGGATCACGCATCCGGTATGCTGTGAAGCATTCAGCGGGCCAGGCCTTTAATTAAGCTCCTTGGCATCTATGGGAGGCGTTGCTACATGCCTGACAGTGGCGTCCAGATTGCAAGATCTCGCAGGGCTCTTCAGCCTAAGGCGCTTCAAATCCGGGCCTCAACTGCGGACTGGCTGACCCCCGAACGTCGCAAACGACACGCCCCTGAGCAAGTGAGATTGCTGGAGCTTCTTCAGGATTGTACAATGCATGTGAGGCGATGTGAGGCGCAAGCTCTGCTTGTTGGTAGGTAAGGTTGACGGGGCAAACGGCGGGCACGAGAACGGGACACCTTGCCGCTAAGGACGTGTATCTCTGCAGCATCCTCTGCCTTCTGTGACCCTGGCCAAGACGACGCTTGGGGAGAACCCGTAAAGACCTCGTTTGCTGCAAAGCAGCGCGGCAGCTCCACCAAGGGAAAGCAAGATGAAGAACAACTTCAAGCTTACTTGGTTGATCGGCTTGACGTACAGCGGAGAATGAAGGCAGATGAGGCACGAGGAAAGGACCTTCGAATACCTGCGATTCAGTTGAGCTCACCGCCGGGTAGGTTGTCGGTTGTAGCCCTGATCACGTGCTTCCAGACATGGTTACAATAGACCAGAGGCAATTCGTGTGACACGTTGGGCATAGAGGTTCGGTTGAAATGTCAGACCACTTCGCCTACACAAAGTATGCACAAGCTGCGCAACGTCGCCTTCGTATGCAAAGCCGTTGGGGGTGAAAGGCCTCGCTGGTTGCATGCCAGACCCGCCGATCGGAGGCCCGATAGCCGACAACTGGGAATTCATACCGCAGAGCTTATATTGATACTTGTGGCATGTACCTTCTGTATCCTTCGGCCGGCCGGATGCCTGGAAATGACACGCAACTTCGAAGGCCTCGTGAAACAACTGGCGGGAAGCAGGGGCTCTACCATGCTGGCGCCAAGGCATGTCTGCATGCCCCTGTACGTACTAGATGCCAGATAAAACCATTGGCGACAGGGCTCGCAAGACTGACGCTGCACATCTTGACTGCCGAAGAAGTAAGCGCTCCACGCAGGGGACGGACACGATGAGGACGAGGATGCTGCCTGCAAGCTGATCGGTCTCAGTCGTGCAGCTAAGGTGCAGGGCGTTGCATGTTGAAGCCTTCGGGCTGCTGTCCCACTTGGCACGAGTTCGAACACAAGAGCGCCAAACGAAGCTGCCAAACCTGAGGCCGAAGATTTTGTATCTACCCTGCTCGTAAACCGAACCCACTTCCACAGCAATCACAGATGCCAAAATGAGGTGCTGGCTTTTTCTTCTTCAGCTTGCGCCTGTCAACTCTAGTGTCCAACTCGGTCTCCTCAGCGGACTGAACAATTCGCTAGGAACCAACGGGTTAAAGCTCGGACGGTGTCCTTATCTGTGGACATGGGGTCCCGTATGGCTTCCATTGTCGATCAGCGTTGACTTAGGGTGAAGTTGGGTACACTGGCGTTCATGACTGTTTGTTTGGAAGTACTTGTTGTTCGGCTTCGTGGATATTGGGTCACGCGGATCGCCCACTCCCCAAAATACTGACTGCACCGACATCTCTTTGCGTGTCGAGCTTGCTTTGTCAATTACTTCCCCGAAGCTTTAATGTAACTTCGACTGCCTCATGATCTTCAGCCACATCAAGAACAGACTCTCTGACCTTGTGCAGGCACACACGTACAGAAAGGCACATACACGCATACACACACGCACACACAAAGAGACACAAACAGACACAAATAAATACACGCACATATATCTATCTATCTATCTATCTATCTATCTATCTATATGTATATATATATATATATATCATATATACATACATACATACATACATGCATACATACATACATACATACATACATACATACATACATTCAGACATACATACATACATACATACATACATACATATACATGCACATGCAGGCAAGCACACAAACACACACTCGAAGAAAGAATCAAACAAACGCAAGCAGGCAGTGCGACGCAGGCACATGCGGGTACATACAACTTCAGTCAAATCTGGCGGCGCCTGCTCACGCAAAGAATAAGGTCCGCACCAAAATGCAGAGAAAGTGTTCCTGGAGTTCTGCGGAAGCATAGGCCTTGACACGCTCTGAAGACCTATATCTGATGCGAAACTGCCAGCATTGACAGGCGGCAGGACGAGTGGAAGACTTGCGAATGCCACCATCAATTTCCAGCATAGACTGCCTTCTCTCTCAGATGCTGGCCATTGCTTTTTCAAGAACGTGGCTGGCGAACCTAAGGAGTGTGACACCCGATTTCGGCAATGATGTGAGTCCCATAGCCGAAGACAGCAAGCTCCAGGCTTGCTGTTCGCCATCTCGAAGAGGACCTCTCTGTCATGTTGGACTAGCCGCAGCAGCTCCTGCTGGCCAGCCAAAAACCGCTCTGAAAAAGGCGGCTCACGCTGGCAGATCTCCTCTGCGATTAGGTCCCTTTGGCTTTGAGAAGCCATCCTTGGCAAGAGATAAAGAAATCAAAACATATGGTCTGCACTCTCAGGCATGCATGAACAGGCTCAGCATCTTGCTCCAGGAATTTCTGCACCTTAAGATAGGATGTGACTGGATATCTCCGTTTCCACATCTCCGGACAGGAAGCAGATTTTGCATTCAAGGCTTGAGCGACATGATTTCCATACCGGCTCATTGCGACCCTTGGCCAAGGCATGATTCAGGGCAGACACCCCTGACAAAGGCGCCATCACGATCGTAGACTCGAGTGCCCTGTGCTGGGGAGCAGACTCCCGCAGTCTCGGAAGGATTTGCTCCAGGAGCTGCCTTAGAATGCATAACGACACAGCCTGCGATGCGTAGTCGGCTTTCTGTCGAAAGATGACCACATAGCCGCAGACTGGCATGACGCCCACCTCCCGGGACACTGTGGGCCACAGCTAGCTTCCGCAGTCGCGGTGCAACGTATGCTCGTTCTTGTCACCAACGTGCTCGATGATTCGCTGCATCACCTTGTACAGTACGCATTGCAGGCATCCAATCATCTCACCACTACGATGGTACGCGACGCCAAGTGACACGGCAGCCTTGGGCATCCATAGCCACCTGCCCAAACTTCAACGCGAATGGAACACATTCACAAGATGAGAATCTGGTGTGTGTTTCTCGCGCCGCCCCGTTTGGCTACGATTAGCGGCCAGTGAATTAGACTTGGACTGAATCATGGAGCATGTGCTCAACCCACGGCTCCGCTAGCGCTGAAGACCGAGGATCCAGGCAGACCAAAGCAAACGGAGACACATGAAGGCAAGCGCGCGAACTCGAACATCCCCACAACCATCATTCACCTGCATGAGTGGCTCCCCTGTACCCCTCCCCTTGTGGCATCGCACGGATGCCTGCGGAACGCAATCCTTCAGCTCCTGACCCAAGCACGGCTTAGCAAGATTGGTAATACATGGTAATACCCAATGGGAGTTCCCGGCATTGCCCAGCAAAGAAAGTGCGAGTATCCCCAAGCCCGCGCCATGGGAACTCCTCGAGGATAAACTTGAAGCGCTCCGGCGACAGAGCCTTGGAGATCACGAGTTGCGTTGCAGACAGTCACGGAAGTTGGGCAGCGCCTGTATGCAAGCTTGCAGAACATAGTTGGAGAAGTTCGGCTTGGTGAAAAACGCCTCAGCAAAGGCGATCAAAGGCCCAGGTCTAAAAACCTGTCTGCGAGAGCCTGCATGACGTGCGTCCGCAGCTCCGAGATCACCTCCGTGGAGCACATGAACAATGCAGTATCGTCGTCTCCGTGGCTTTGAGAGCTGAGGCAAGGTCAGTGTCAACAGCAGCGTTCCAGTCCTAGCACGGCCCCACTAAATGCCAACATGCAGCATGCCCTGTTCTGAGCAAGTCTAGAAAGCAGGCATGCGACTCCACGCAACTTACTCTGTCTGACACCTATCCGTTCGATATGGCTTGTTAGCAGACCAGGAAACTGCAAAATCCAGGCTCCTTGGCGCCACCACTCTTCACGTGACCCCCAGACACGAGCAACTGCCAGGAAACGCAATGACAGTAAGAGGCGGAGCAGCTCGAATCGCTCTCGCGGTGCACAGGCCGAGGCCTGTTGCAGCTGCTCCGAGCCTGCCTTTGAGCAGCTAAGCTTCCACACCTTCCTGAGCTTGAGCATAAAGTGACGAGACGCAGTCCAGACACGCCCGGTCCGAGAGCCGATCCCCCGGATCTTCTTCTGAACCTGCTTCCAGTCTCGCACCTGCGATGTCCATGTCGCGGTCTCTGCTTCGGCTCGGCGTCCCGCGGGCGCCTTGATCAGCGCATCCAGCTCCAAGGCAGCAGCGCTCTCTGCCTGCGAGCACATCGTCATGCAAGCCTCATGTTGGATCACCTGATGCCTGCGTAATGAAACTTGTACATGTGCCGCAAGTCGCCTCTGACGAACCATGGCTCAGCTGGTTCGCCGAGGTATGTGGCTGAGCATGTGACCTGCAACGACGAAGCAGAAGCAATACTGATAGGGCCACTGCCACAGCCTGGCACGCCCAATATAGGTTGACTGCATGCATGCGCTGCTCTTGTAGCTCATGATGCCACGGCAACCGGAAGCTTGAGAATCACGCTGGTTGTGGGGCACATGCAGTACATGCTGTGAAGGCCTCCGACCAGCGTAGGAGGATTCCCACCTGGCGTAGAGAGGGCCTCCTCGCCCGCCGACCCTATCACAGTTTGTGATATCTGCTGTGTCTCACTTCTCAGAGACTGACAGTGATGATAGTAACATGGCACTTCTTCCTACTGTGAGTGATAAGTTTGCGTCTTGATGCGTCTTATTCGTGCTGCATTTTGCAGCTTGCTCTTGTGACGTTCTCAGGTGAGACGCTGATCATATCGAGCACAGCTCAATCGGTTCGCTGATTTCTCCTGCATTGCACCCGTTTAGCAACGATAGGCTTGTTTAGCTGATGTGTCACTAAATGCGTCGGCTCTTGCGGCCCTGACGGGCGGCTTGCAAGGCTTTCGCTGTTTCTTGCTGGGGTTCTGCTCCATCACGGCATCTGCAGAACACATTCCACTCGAAATGCCTTCAGAGACGTGCACTTGAGGCTCCTCTAGACAGATGCCCCGGCAGTTGGAGTTGCCCCGGTATTTCTCCATCCCATCGGGGCCTCTGCGTTTGGGGGCGCTCTCTAGCGCCGCTTGGTGTGGGATGTGCCTGAACAGGTGGATGGTGCTGGGCTCGGCCGAAGATGCAAAGGATTCTGGTTACTGTACCCGGCCTCAGCATCTTCCTGAAGCAAGGTGTTGAGCAGCCTGCAGTGGTGTTCGAAGCTGCATTGGGTCTGCTTCATGCTTCATGCTTAGGACATCGCCTCGCCTTTCGAGATTGCGCTGGTCGGTCTCTTGCTGGCTCGAAGGTGCACACGGCCTCGGTGTCGGGCGAGTTTTGGTTAGGTGGATAGGCACACGACTGCGCAGACTTCGACAATGCGGAAAGCCTGATGTTTTGTTTGCATCATGTTCTCGGTCGCCGAACAGGCAGCGCTTGGCATGTAGATGTGGGCACGGCTTGTGTTCTGCACGGAGCCCTGCCTTGCACACTTCGGCCTTCGGCTGCTTTAAACTGCAAGCCGAGCTCGGATTCGTCCTTTGGCCTCCCTCCGAAGCGTGTTACCGCGGTGCTTGTGACCAGCTGTGAGCTTGACAGTCACTCTCTCTGGCAATGGTGAGTGATGTGAGTGGTGTGAGTGGTGCCTGTGATGTTACAGGTGATGTCGGCATCTTGCTTGAGCCAAAAGCCTCTTGCGCGGCCCTTAGCCAAGCATTCAGCTCCGAGGATTTGTACAGCACAAAGTGTACCTCTGGTGGCCGCCCCTTCTCCGTCTCTGAGAAAAGTCTGCAAGCTTCGATGGCGGCTCGCGCCCCAAGTTCTACAGGACAGCCGAAGAGCCCGCAGCCCAAGGCGGGGATGGCCACAGCTTGAATCGCACTTTGCTCGGCAAGCCGCAACGCCGACAGAAATGCTTGCTCCAACAGCTGTCTTGCCTCTTCAGGTGCATGGGCCGGAAAGACTGGAGCCACAGCATGAATCACATGTCCGACATGCAAGTCGGCACCAGCTGTGATCCTTGCTTCACCGGTTGGACATCGCACCCCTGGGGCGATCTCCGGCAAGCTGGCGCATAGGCGTCTTAGCTCGGGTCCTGCGAGTCGGTGAAGAGCAGCGTCAACCCCGCCGCCACCAAAGTCATCACCTCACACTTTCGAACAAGGCAACTGTGCTCCTAGGCAACCGCCGCAGTACTCCCCAATCACTCTACGGAAAGTCCCAAAACATGCTCGACGACTTCAGTCACCATAGTCCTCGTCGTCACCAACAGCGCCCAACAACTCCGCGTTTGCTGCGTTCACGATGGCAGCTTGCATGTCCCCGCAAGGCCGCCAGGCAACAATATTGTTCTGGCAGATAACAATTCGCAGTCCATTGGCATCGAAGGTCCACTGCTCGTGTCGCGGCATGAGCTAAGTGAGCCCCATGGCTTCTGTACAGGCGGCCGATTCCACTGTACCGCACAGACTCAGATGAGCTGATGTTATCTCTGAGAGCATGTGACGCATGTGAAGTTAGCGAGCCCCAGGCCGCAGCAGCTCAGCTAGTAACAACCTCAGTGGCATGACTGATGTATGCAAGTCACTCCCATCAACAGACGGCACACTAATTGAGGGCACTTGTTTGGAGCAACAGACAAGACAGCTGAAGCCGAAAGATTTCGCCGAACCCACAACCACTGAGAGTCTGCAGCCCGGACTGCTGCCTTGGTACCAGAAGTCCGGGTACCTGGCAGGCAGCTGATCTGCTAGCTGGCACCCGCGATGACCGCGACTTAACAACTGCACAAAGAACCTGTGGCTGAGCTGCCGCCCGCTGCGCGCCAAAACTGCGACAGGTAGAGCACGTTCGGAGCCAAGCATGAGTCGATGCAGACCGTTCAGATCAACAGCGAATTTCGTATAAGTATGCTAGACGTTTCTCGCTGCGTGGCAGACCAAGCAACTTTGAGTCCCCATAGAAGCATCGTCGACAAGACTCGTTTAAATCAATGCAACCAGGAGCGTCTGACAGCAGCTAGCGAGGGCACAATCTACATGTCTGATCCAGCCAGCTCAAAATGTGCTCGCCGCACTCCAGCAGTGTCCTGGAAGTCCGCTGCCACCTCGCATCATTGGCTGCAGTGGCACCAGGGCCTCGGAAGATTGCATCCGAACTGCTAGAACCTCATCTCGCCCACCATCTGATACCCGACGCTGAGCACAAGACGGAGCATCTGCCCCTGATACAACAGGCACATTTTCCGACTTCGGGAAGCAGCAAGGTCCGTGGTCTTGGTGACTGCCAACATCGTTCGGAAGGCTAGCAAAGCGTGCCTGAACCACGTGTGCCCAAGGCCTAAGCATCGAGAGTGCATCGCCAAAATTGGCAGGCACTTATGGCCGGGGCCTGGTGCCGGCTCACAGAACGGGCAACGCAAGCGACCCAGACATGACTGCGATAAGAACGGAAACCGAAAGTGCACCGTCAGGTCAGCTAAGAGAGCGGCGTCACGTGGCCATGCGCGCCTGACTCTGCTCGGCAAGGCACGTTTGCTGAGACTCAGCTACCCGCAGCATAGGAACCGGAGCCTTGTTGAGGGTAATTAGCTGTTTGACGCAATGCCTTCCACATCATCCACCTATTTGGACATGTTGGATTATGAAGCTTCAATCCCGTCTTCCTCGGCCCCTTTATTGGATGGTAGTCCGGACAGCAACCGAGCCGAACCGACTCGTGCCGTATCCATTTGCCAGCAGAAGCGTGCTTTCTAGCATCGGAATGTTAAAACGGGCTCTTTGAACGACATACAGGATCCTGTGGCAGAGTGGCCTGCCAGCCGCAGGGCCAAGGAGCTGCGGGTGTGGAGCCAATTGCAGCAGCAAGTTCCACATCCGACGACTGATCCCCTCTCTCGTCCAACAATCTGGGCAGTAGCGTGAGGGAGCAAAAACACCGATACCCTTTTTTTGCGTCTCTCCAGGCGGCACTCAAATAAACTCGATGACTCCCTTTTCGTGGCCGCCTCGCACCAGCGCCTCAACTCAGGCAAATAAATCTCTTGAGTCTGTGAAGATGGGTGTTGCTGCCCATCCACCACTCCCTCTGTTCTCAACATGAAAGAAACTCTGTGAATTGGAAAGTCGTGGCTGACAATGCGACTCGTCTTGAAGCTAGGCGACCTTGTTGCTGTCAAACAACTTGCGCTGCGCCTGCAAGGAGGCAAGCTTTCAGGCTTGGCTTGAAGGGACAGCCTTCCAGTGTTAGATGCAGTCAGCCTCCAGGTACCGACGATGGCCCTGCCGACACGAGCCGTGAATAAAACTTCGAGATCCAATGCTGGAAATCTTCGAAACGAACAGACTGGCTGCATGCATGGGTCCTGGACTCTGCACGCTGTTAAACTCAACTTGAACGACCCATTGGCGGTCCTCCTCCACGGCTTCGTCAGAAACCTCGCCACCAACCTCTTTCGCCCATAAATCCTGCCAGAACAGCGGAGACTCAGTCTGGGCTGGTCGGAGTTACAGGAAACGCAGCAATCGTTGTGTTTGCTCGTTGGATTTAGAAGCAACTCGGTTCAAGCGCGACAGTGCCACTGTGCAACTCATGGTCCGGGCTTCTGAAGTCGTGCCGGGAACCCAGCACAACACAGAGCACAGCGGTAGAGAGAGAGGTTGAAGTGCCGCTCCTCCAACGAGATCGGAACTCCTGCAAGGTGAACATCATTGACAAGCCTTTTTCAAGCGGTGTGGTCTCCACTGTGGTCGCCTGTCACCATGGTCAGCGGTGGCAGTTGCGGAATCCCAGCGAACCCGGGAGGCACCTTTCATCTCACAGGCTCAGGCCATCTAGTTTCAAAGTACGGCCGAGCTGCTAAGAGCCCGGTGATGCTCTTGAACAAGTGCTGCAGCTGCGTGAGCCAAGCAGGCCTGGAACACAAAAGCGTGGCCGCAATGTGCCACAACCTGACCTGAAAGCAAACTGGGTGGACCACGGGTTCCTGATCTGAGGAATGATGGACTCATCGCCGAAAGTCCACCTCAGTAAACTCCTGTTGTCTCTGAAACAACTCCGAGAGGCCCCTGCATTGGAAGGATGTCCCTCCGCTCCTCGAGGGCAAGTCGCACAAATCCTGGCATGAAAGAATTGAAACCGAAGTGTCAGACAAGATCCAGACAACTCGGTCTGACCTTTATGGCACTTGACGTAACACACGTAGCGCCCTGGAGTCGCATAGGCACTCTCCTTGCGTCCAGGGGCTGGTTGATCGAACCATCATTGTCAGTCACCGCTTCTAAGAGGAGAGGCGAGAGCGGGATAGAGCGAGAGAGAAAGAAAGAGAGACCGAGCGGGGAAGACAGAGACGGAAAGAGAGAAAGAGAGCGAATCACGGACGGAGAGACGTCCTGCGCTCCGCCCACGAAGATCGCGACGTCGCGGCCAGCCCGCAGCCGGTCGCAGATGAAGGGCTTGGTGCATTCAAAGGCACCTAACCACAGCAAGCCGCCCAGACACATTGAGATTGCCCTGCGTCACTTGCGGCCCAAGCCCAGCGTGGTGAACATCTCGTAGAATCCAGGGAACAGGCCACAGGCTCCCGACCTAAGTCTGAAAGCTCAGTGACTTCCTACGAAACACTTCAGTTCCAGAGACACGGACGCAACGGCCGCACGAAGCTTCATTTGCCTGCCACAGGCATGCCGACTTGCAAAATCATGCGACACCAGTCCTGCATGCATTCGTTTGATACAGGCCTGAACCAGCGCTGATGCAGAAGTTCACCTCCGTTCTCCTGTGCCACTACATTCGAACCGGGCTTCTGACAGTTCTGCGCCAGACCCTGTGGCGACATCAAACCCACATCCCGCCAGCATCCCTGGTGACCCGGGCGTGCCGGCTCGGGCAACTCCACTCCGGAAGCTGTGCGGCCACGAAGGCCGCCCCCCGCCTGAGGGGCTGCGGCTTTTTGCACACCATGACACACCACATTCACATGCTCCTAGACCGCAATTCGCAGATCGGAATGCGGCAGGAATGTCACAATATGTGGAGCCGGATGCGCACACGGCACTGGACGGTGACGTTGACTCCATGCCGACAAGGTGCCCAGGTTAACCCGGCCAGGATGGCACCGACGGGCAGCAGACCATGAGGATGCATCCCGATCACCTCAAGAAACGTTGAATCTGGTGGCTTGGGTCTGATGCGGGACTGATGCGGGTGTAGTTCCTATATCATGGAACGAGCCATGAGCCCCTGGCATAATGTCTGTCCATCCAGTGCCGGATCTCGCTGGGGCTGAGCTGCCTCCACTCCTCGGAGAGGACGATCTGGGCGTGGCCGAAAGCAGCGGAGATGATGCGCCAGAAGCGCGAGCGTGTTACGGTGTCCGACCAGCCGCGATCATCGCGGGTGGAACCACGCTCACTCAGAGGGCCGCGGAGGGCCCAAATGGCCCAGGGCACATGAAGACAGAGCAGGCGCAGCAAGAACGCTGAGCGCTCGGTCTTAGGAAAAACAAGGAATAGTTGACCAATCCGCCTTAAAGCGGCGTCAACGCTTCCAAGCAAGCCAAGGTAAAAGATCGACTTCATCATCTTCTCTCGGCCTGCTGGTACTACAGATGCTCGATAGGTCAAGCCACGCATGTAAAAGCTCTTCTTCCAGACGATCGCCGTCAGGACGAGAAGGCATAGTGGGCCAACGTCCCGACCTAAAGCGAGAAGAATTGATGCCATCGCGTCGAAGGCCGTGAGGCCGCACGCCTCGTTAGGGCCAGGTGGGATATAACCCACGTGCCCGATCTCCAGCCGAAACTCCTTGAAACATCGTTAAGACCTTGCGAAAACTCAAACTGTAGACGGGCATTGTTGATGCTGGCTGTGCAGGGACTGAATAATCTGCGCCTCTGCATGAGAGCGCCTTCGGGTTAAGCTGGAGCCGAGCTGTTCACGGCCGGCAGACGCACTTGGAGGGTCGGGGGACTTAGTAAGTAGTTATTTTTTGCCTTTTTTTTATCATAACCCCAGTTAGAACCCTGTTTAGGGTAGGTCTATCAGGATCATAACCCCAACTCGGACCCCTTCTAGTGTAATTATGTAAGTCTACTTACTACCTTCCTGCTAAGTCCCCCGACCCTCCAAGCAGCGTCTGCAAAAAGTAGCACTCTTGAAACCTCCACTTGCAGCCAGCAACGACCGCTAGCAACAATGCTCATCCCCTTTTCAACGAAATGTCCATGCGCCGCAATTCCCGCTGTCGAATCTTCCAGCTCTTACTCACGTGTTTGTGAGCTCGAGTCCCATGCATTTGGGCTGGTTGCTTGAAGTTCCTAAGCTCCTTGAAGTAGCAGCATTGGGTGCTAGCTCTGACGACCGACCTTTGAAGTAGCCCTTGTCTGTTGTCGGACAAGCGTGTCTCATCCCCGGCCCAAATGAAAGAAGGAAATGACCAGCGCAACTGCCGAGTAACAAATGAAAACGCAGCATCCTGTCCCAGTCGTGGGTGCTTGCTTGTTCAACATAGTGAAGTAGGAAAAAGTTGACCCTCAGGCCATCCGGGGCGGGATGCCGAACTATTAAACTGTCAGCGGAGTGAAGGCAGATCACCCGCAATGCTTCAGGCTTTCTCAGCGCACTTTGATTGGAGCTTAGTACCTTGTTGAGGCACGAAGCATCGCTTCGGCGGGTGGCTGTTGCCTGACACGGCCGCCTCTCACCCTTCACGCTTTACATGCACGGTGGGTCCTGCCAAGGCAGGACGAGGCCGAATCACATCCTGTGACGTGAAAGCGGCCAGGCAGAATTCTGCCTGCGCAGTGCGGGACTGCTGCGCATCAGACTCTGCAGTTTCGAAGGCATAAGCTCGGCTTGAGCTGGCCCCCCTCTTCTAACAGAAAACGATTTCGAGCTCAGGTCAAGCTGATGCCACATCTCTTCTGAACAACCTTCATGCTGAGGTGATCAGGAGAGCCTACTTCTCTGAGCACGCACGCATGATCTGACCAGGGCAAGGTCGCGATTCTTTCATCTCTACGTTCCAAGTGGTCAAGTTGCCCCACAGTCTGATCACCTCGCCCGCACCAGAGATCCACAGCTGCTGACACCCAGCATAGACGCCATCGAAGATATTGAACTACCGTTTTCTGAAGAAGGGAGGCCACCCCTTCAACAATGGTAGATCAATTGGAAGCCAAGCTGGCGTTGGAAGTTGGGCCACCGCGGTTCAGAGACGAGAGTCATCAGTACATTCAGAGTCGTCGCAACAATTACCCTGTGATTGCGTAAGTAAATGAAGTCATTCAACCGCAGGGTATCGTTAAGGAAAGATGGGGATGGCGACTTCAACATCCGCCGTGAAGCTGCGAATGACCCATGACTCCCATGCAAAAGGGTGCACTCCTTGACATCACAAGTCGTGCTCCTGTAGTCCACTCCTTCTCACTCGCAATCAACAGTGACAAGTCATAACTTCCCCAGACTACAACTTCCACAGCGAGAAGTTGAGGATGGCCCGAAGGGCCACACGTGCAACACTTCGGGGTCGATGCAGCCATCGTGGCCTGCACGTCTCCTGCTCCGAGCGGTGAACCTGATGAGACTTAATACACGAAGCGAAAGCAAGCGGAGCAGAATCCAGCGCCCGCGGGACTTCGAAAGGGTGCGCTGGCCACACGCGACCCTCCGCAGGTGCAACTTGCGCATCCGTATCTGTGAGCTCCCTCTGCCCGGATTCGGCAAAAACACGAGCACGATTCTCAAATTGACACTGCAGTTAGCCTGTCAGTGAACCCTTCCCGATCTGACTACTAGTCTGGCCACGGCTCTTCTGCAAGCAACCGCCGAAATCGCCCGAGGGACAGAGCTTCACCAGCCTCCAATGACGACCAGCTGAGGTGTTCTCGGCTGTGGCACAGGGTGCGGTTAGCATCTGTGCCCGTGACACTTCGTCATAAACGAAGCTCACAAAGCCAACTGCACACAACTTAACAAAACCAACTTGGTTTGATGAGTGTGGCTTGCCACTCCTCCATTTGTAGAACAATGCTTGTTCACGCGCGAAATTTCAAGGATGGCTGGATCTTTGTGACTTATACCTGCAATTTCTGCACTGGAGTTAACGCGGCTTCTAAAAGTCCAGGCTTCAGGTCCTGCCAACGGTCTCTTCGAGCCGTGGCGACTCCTGCACCTACTGGACCATAAGCGTGACGAAGTCTGACGAAACGTGCTACACTCCCCATCTCTAGCTGCCTCCAGGCATTCTAGCCTTAAGTCCTAGCTATCAGCTGTTCCATACTGTCTCGGAGGGCATGTTTAATCGGCGGCAGGTGTATGGGAGTCTTGAAGCACGATTCTCTGCCCAAGCCTTGCAAAGAGTCACAACGAAGGCCCGCCGGTGGAATCGACACTTACGTGACTGCAGGCATGCGGGACGTTCTTGGCCTTCCATGTCAATCTTCTCCGGCTAGCTCAAGCCATGAAGCCCCGATCAAACGCCCGAGGATAGCCTTCAAGTGGAATCTGTTCCAGCCTCCAGCCTTTTACTCTGGCACGGACCTATGTGAGCACCCTCGGAGGGTTTGGGGACTACATGGTTCAGCGACACGGAACGTGGGAAATCCTTGAAAATTGTCGGCAGCAGGGCGGCTGCATGAGCTTTTGTGCAGCTCCCGTTGGCCAAGCTCTTCTCACTCCTCGAACCTTCGAACCATCTCGAGACTTCTTGCGTCGCTTTAGCCCAGACACTCGGTTTTTCTGAATCGGGAGTTGGCTCCGGTCAGCCCCTTTGCCACATCCACGCCCCACTAACCACGGGGGGAAGCACACGACCTTGCAGGTGACCTTACGGCCAAGGGTCTACCCCTGACATCTCTTTGAAACGTCCAGGGACAGGTTCTGAAATCCTGGCGACTTCGGAACTATATAGGTTGCACGTGGATCAAGAAGAACAACAACATAAACGGCACGTTCGAAGATACCCTTACATAATTCACCTCTAGAGCCACTCACTGGCGGGGACACAGGCCTCCCGCTTTTCCCGACCACGTGAGTTACCACCACGAACGCGGAGCCGAATAAGGAAAAGGCACCGCTCAGATCGTGATTTTTTGCCTGGCAGAAGCTTCAAGTCTCGACGCAAGCACAGTTCGGCAATGAGCAACTGAGCAACCTTTTTCCGGGCAGTCAGATGGGTCTGAACAGTCTGCTGGCGGCAGCCACGAGGGAGCGAAAATGTATCCACAGAGTTCACAGGGTCCATTGATCCACGGATCCAAGGATATCCAAGCTGTCTACCCATGCGCGCGTCGGATTCTCAGGGCCCTGTCAGCTCCGTGACACTCTGTGATCCCGATAAGGTGTGCTGTTCGAGATGCTGCCTTCCTGGGCGGTGCTCAGTACAGCATAATTTGTGACGCCTGCCTTGATCGACTGCCTCTCACCCATCCTCTGCCAGCTATTTTGCAAGGTATTTCCTCGCGATGTTCCATTGCTCGTAACATACCTTAAGGCCAAGAGAAGCAGAAAACAGCCACAGCCACATGCAGAATGTAGAACTGACGTGCTATGCATGCACCCACGTATACTTGTCACCTTCTGGAACACTCTCATGCCGGCATGACCACTCTTCACGCATAAGTGCATACGTACATGCAGGCATGACATGCTCTAGTAACGTGGATAATTTTACATCGTTTACTTAGGTCTACGTCATGCAGAGAAAATACAAGCCCCCTCGACTATGTCAATCCATCGTGCCCAGCTTCATGTCCGTTTGTGTATTGAGTGGAGATCTAGCCTAGCAAATGTGCTAGCTCCATCAGCCAAGGTCCGACGCTCTCGGAACCCTGGTGTCTATGTGGCTGACCCAGGCATGACACTGCCCTCGAGCTTGGACAGCTCGGTGAGATGCTCAGACCTGGTAAGGCCTAGCTGAAACAGTGCAGGACTCTGCCGGTGTGGCATGTCCGTAGCAAGCGTCACCCGCTCTTCCGTTTTTCTGCGCATCCACTGGGCTTGTTAGCGAAGGTTCTTTGAAGTTCCTGAAGAGCAAGTCGAAAAGCTGTTTGGGTGTCGGAACGTGGTCTGAGCACGTACTGTGTCAGCACGTTGACTCTTGCCCCTCAGTCTCCCGACGGGAGAGGAAATGTCTCCGGGGAGTCCCGTTCCAGGTCTACCACGGTGACACAGCAACTACTGAATCTTAAAGCAATGCAGTTCTAGTGGCATCCACGTGGACGCTTCTGTACAAAGCCGGAACAGCTGCTCACCACGGAGCCTGACAAAGCACGAGTTTCCAAACAGAGCTTCTCTGCTGACCCTTCAAACAGACCCACAGAAGGCCTCGGCCTTCCGGTTCAAGTCCTTGCAGCTCACCGGCTTGCAAGGCGGTTTTGTGCTGACTCTCTGCAGGCTCTTTTGCAACGCTTCTAGACTCGGAGGCCTGGATTGCTTCTGGGGGGGGGGGGGGGGGGGGCGGTCCAAGCATAAAACAGAATCCTTTCCAAACGGTCGCAGATGGACAGTGGACTCCGGCAAGGACGGTTGCTGCAGCGTTTCGCACGCCGACGTGTCGGATGCCGTCGGGATCCGTCGGGTCACTGCCCGAAACTTGAATTCTACGACTTCAGGAGGCTGTCACGCCCACAGCCGAGATGAGAGAGCATTGCACCTATCAATTCCCTTGCTAGAATGGCTTGTGCCAACCCCGAATTTACACCCTGCGACCCTCCGAATTGGCC